CACGTGAAGGTGATATAGCGAGAAATTTTAAAGCTTTATTATCTTAAAAAGTTTTTTTTAATTACCTTTTATTTAGACTTTAGAGTAATGTTCAAACTTGAAAACCCAGCACCCTAAAGTTTAAACCAAATAAACCATTCCAGAATAATATCGATTTTTTAGTCTCCTTTTCATTTATGCCACTGAAACAATTTATCAATAACATTTTGTTTAAAAATACTAATAAATGTCTTGAAATTTACTAGAAAATGACTAAGAAAGATTCTAGCCGCCATTATACTTTCTGCGCCATTTAAAAACTCCGTAAAAATTTGATACGTATTAAAAATTCAAAAAGAAAATTTCAAAATATGTGAAATGCAGGAAAAAATATATAATGCTAGTTTAATCTGTTCAAATATTTACTGAATACAGTTCAATCAGTTATTAATAATTTTATAAACTTAAAACTTTTTTTCTAAACGTTGCAAAAAAAAGCGTTTAAGTTAACTTGAAAATAAAAATGACTAACTTGAAAATGGTTAACTTAAATGGTCAACTTGAATGGTTAACTTGAAAATAAAAATGGTTACATTTCGGAGCAAAAGATTGTTATATGCTATCATTGATAAAATTGAAAAGGAGAGATATATTTAAAAGTTCCTGAAAGCTCATATATTGCAGTTTAAAGCACGTTATTTTAGTATTCTAAATATTGAAACTCAATTTCTGTTGCTTTCTTTCGTATTTCATAGAACTTTTTGAAATTGCATATAACTCGCCAGATGTATTTATTTTCTTCAATATAAAGCTTTTAACATATTTGATATATTGAATATTAAAAGTAAAATATTATCTTTCTAGTTTTTAATTTTGTAACAAAATTTTATTAAATCGTTCCAAAAATTCAAAGAAAACCTATCGTTAAAGCGAAAAGTTAGAAGGATCATATTCTGCAGACCTTTTTAATTAGTTTAACTTTCGTCAGGTAAAATTTACATTCGAACAGTAAGTCAGGTTTTTTAAAAATTAATAATCTATGGAATTTTATTGGCGGGATACTGGTTATACCAACCTGAAGACAAAATTCCACAATGATATTTTTAATAAAGATAATTAATACTATTGTCATTAATAACGCTGAAACGAAAAGAATTCTTAAAAATAATTCATGTCAAAAATGAAAAACCTGATATATTTTTATGCATTTTACTACTCGTTATTTCAATTTTCTTAATATTGAAACTCAATTCACGTTTTATTCGTATTTCTTAGAACTAGTTAAAATTACTTACAACTTGCAAGATATGAAATATATTTAACATCTTTGATAGCATTAAAATTACAATATTAGGGTAATTAATTTTGTAATATAATTTACAAATGCATTTCGAAAAAAAGAAAGCAACCGGCTGTTAGAACGAAAAATTAGAACATCCCATCGTGAAGATCTCGGCAAGAAAAAGTAACAACGAAAATACCATTTTCGCTGTGTTTTTTTTTTAATCAAAAAAATGCATTTAAAAACAATAATTCTAGATTTAAAAAAAATAATAAACCCTGAAATTTTACATGCGGGTCACGAGTTTAGAAGATTGCCAGCCTACAGATATTATTCCACGGTTCATCTTATCGTTTAGTATTGATGTCAGTCGCTTAATTAACCCGTATGAATGCCAAGAATTAGAAGACGAGCAAACTACATTATTTTTGTATTTTTCAACAACTGCAACAACTTTGTTACAAATGTAGTTAACTAATACTACTTTTTTTTGTTGAATGAATTGACTACAAACTACTTTGGAATTTAGTAACTACTTGACCACTTTAAGGAGACGAACTTAGCTAGAGAAATTAATTTACGCCAGCATAATTTACACTGCTGGAGAAATTAATTTACACACTATGCTCAAAATGGTTTCGAAAAAAAAAGGGGGGCTTACATTAAACATGAAGAATTATTTAGAAATATTTATTCATATTAACAGGAGCCAGTTTGTTATTCTAAAACATTTCTTTCGAATTTGTTCATTTAGCCTTCAACTTTTCCTGCCCTTCTCGACAGCGAATATTTAATTTAAGGGATGCTAGGAAATTATCAAATACTTGCAATATCTTTAAGTGTTTAATGCTCTTTCATTTCCTCAAGAAATTAAATGCATCTAAACTATTTTTCCTCCCTTTGAAATATCATCAATGTTTTACGAGCCTAGATTCGCACGTGAAAGTGCGACCAAAGAGATAAATTACCTGTTATTCTTCAGGGACCGATCAAGACATATTCAGGCCCAAGACCCATCAAATTTTCTGGGCCCCTTACAAAATATTTTGAAATTAAATTACAGAAAAGTAGTCCTAATAATGAAAAAGAATCTACTGAACTACATGATTTAAGAGAAACATTCTAAGAAATTTTGAAAGCAGACGATTGAAGATTATTTTTCTAAGATAAAGTTTACGTATCTATAAACTAAAGCAAAATATAAAACAATAAAACAATGTTATGTCCAAATAAAAATAGTTTGGTGACCACAAACAATTGAAATCAGTGATTCTTGCTAAAATTCACTGATTAGCTGAATTATTTTTTACTGTAAGCTGTAATTATTTTTTATTCAGTACTTAAACCAACACATAGCTAGCCCACCTTTCACTAGACTTTTTACTAATTTTTGAGGCCCCTCAGAAATTGTGGGCCATAGGCCCATGCCTATTGGGCCTAGGCTACAATCAGTTATACAGCCTAGCTTGCATATCAGTTATACGTAACTCTAAATACACAATTCTTGTTAACTCACAGTGAAAATTGCGTTTTTTGACAGAGGATTTGTACCCATCTCATTCCAAAAATTAGTTGTGCTAGAACCCTGTTCATATAGAGGATTTGTACCCATCTCATCCCAAGAATTAGTTGTGTTAGAACCCTGTTCATATAGAGGATTTGTACCCATCTCATTCCAAGAATTAGTTGTTTTAGAACCCTGTTCATATAGAGGATTTGTACCCATCTCATTCCAAAAATTAGTTGTGTTAGAACCCTGTTCATATACTAAACTAGCGTAAAAAGTAGCTGCCAGGAATCGCTACAAACTACTGTTTTCTGTATCTTTCTTGTATCGCACTACTCACTGCACTACTTTTTTTTTAAAAAAAAAAAAGTAGCGCACTACGCTACAAACTACTAAAAAAAGTAGCGACTACAGTAGTTTCACTACTTGTAGAGCACTGAAGACAAGCTTTGAGAATGGATGCCAAAGCATAATATGTGAATGATCCCTTAAGCTTCAGTGGGCGTCCTATCAAGCGGACGACCTTTCCAAGGTAAAATCGAAGGATGGGAGTTACACATTCCGTTCTCTACCCACTCTGCCGGTCATAACACCTCAACCATCAAATACTCTAAAATTTCATCAAGAATCTCCGCCTGTTGCAAAAGAAGAAGACCACTTCCATCTTCTTTTGTTGACCAAACAAAGAGTACATTCCTCTCGATTTTCTTTATTTTTTTTCTTCCCTCCATTCTATCGTCATTTTTTTACCATTTTCCTTTTATCTCTAAAAAAAGAAATAAGTTTAGAGAAAAGGCTTTAAAAGAAGAAGAATCTTTTGAAAAAGTCACGATTTTCACGGCCGTTGGTGGATGGGGGGTGACCATAAAGTGATCGGTGACGGTATCTTTCTTGAAAGGTCGAGCGTGTCTGGGAGTGTGCCCAACAGATTCTAGTTAATGGGTTTTAACGGTAAAGATACAATGGAAAACTCAATAAGTGACCTCATCGATATTGGATTGAGTTTTATGGAGGGTCAACTTTTGACAGTCTTATCTCTGTTCACCAGTTTAAATAGTAAATTACAGACAATTTTTGAAGATAATATTGGAATCGTATTTCAACACTGCTAGATTACTTGAGACTTCGATTGTATAGTTTTATTTTTTTTTCTGTATCAACGCAAGCTATTCATCTTTTCCTATGACATTGTTTAGTGCATTGTTAATTGCTCATATGTCTTATAAGAACTGAATTAATGACTTTGTCCAGTGGTCGACTAATGACTGTGGACAAATAGTGAAACTACTATAGTCGCTACTTTTTTCCGTAGTTAGTAGTGTCACGTGCGTCTTTTTTTTAAAAAAAAGTAGTGTAGACAATAGTACGATACAAAAAAAAATCTTAGAGGAAATAAAAGAGCGTTAAACAATTAAAAAATTTCAAGTATTTTATAATTTCGCATTTCTCAAGTTAATTATTCGCTGTCGAGAAAGGTATTAAAATATGAGGGTTAATTGAATAAATTCGAGACAAAAAAATGTTTGGGAACAACAAACTGGCTCTTGTAAACATGAATAAATAATTCTTTATTATTCCCTAACATTTAACGTAAGTTCATCTCCTTAAAGTAGTGAAGTAGTTACTACAATTTGAAAGTAGTTTGTAGTTTCTACATTTAAAAAAAAGGTAGTTTTATTAACTACATTTGTAATAAAGTAGTTTCAGTTGTAGTAAACTACAAAAATAATGTAGTTTTTCCGACCACTGACTGTGTCCAAGAGATTTTAATTTTCAGATACAATTAATGATGATAAACTCATTGAATAGAGTTTTTGTTGAGATATATTTCAGTTGAACTTTCAGTGTCAAATTTATCCAAAGAAATACAGCTAATTGTTGAAGTGCCTCTAATATACGGATCGAAATTCAACTTAGTTTGATTGCTTCGGTAAAAATATTTAGACTGGATTCGTTTTACTGAAATTTGATTGCATGCTGACATTTAATTAAGTTTGCTCACTGATGCATTAGCATTTAGTTACATATCGCACTAAAAAATTATAAATTATACCCTACTGTGGAAAAAAAATGTCGGAATGATTCCATAAGGGTTCGTAATTCATCTTCAGTAAGTTGCTCTAGATACATAACTTCGAAAGCTATAATAATTTTTTTTTAAAAAGTTATTATTGAAATAAGGCAGATTTCGGTAAANTTTTTGTTTCTGAGTGAAAATGATTGGTTGATTTTACTTAAAAATGCCTGATAGACATAAACAACACTTGATTTGAACACTTCCTGTGAGTATTTGGCATCGCACAAGATTTGATTGATATTATGTCGCCGTTTGATGATCTAAAAAAATATTTTAATGTAAAAAGGATAGGAAGAGGAGTCAAATCCTTCCTTACTCATGAGGGTATTGATAGCACGAAATTACTTCTGCATTGTGAGATTATTGTTTAAGATCATTAAATTTAAAAATTGTTTTGTGGGGAGCGTATTATCGATCCTGCCAACCTATCAAAAGGTACCTCTAGAGAGAATCAAGTTAACATGTCTGATATACGAGAGAATTGGTGTTTAACAGTTGTAGAGGTTGTTACGCCACATTACTCCCAGAATTTTGTCTGTGATAGAATTCAAAGAACGAATGCCACTCGTTGATTAATGTTGTTTATTTATTTATTTTCTCTCATTCTATTCTGTTTTCTTTCTTTCTTTTACTGATTTTTTTTATGGGTCGTGAGAATTAAATTTTCTTTACCGGATCTTTGGAGCGCTATTTTGTGAACAAATCAACTGTTCAATGTGGATCACCCATCGATGTTGGATGATCCACATGGATCTGAGAGCGTCATCTATCAAAAGGCATCTCAATGTAGAATTTAGTTAACATGTCTTATATACTAAGAAATTGGTATTCAATATTTGTAGTGGTAAGACACTCCACAGTATGTTTTCAAAAACATATGAGCTAAATAATATTTACCATTTTCTTCTCTCAGACATTCATCCACTTCCTTCAGAAGATTTTCAATCGAAAGTTTCCTGTCTGGAGAGAGGCCTTCCGTCTCAGAATCTGTACTTCCGTCGCCAGAAGCAGTCGAGGGATCGACCCTTTTTTCCCTGATATTCACCGGACCTCGAGCCTCCCACTCAATGTTAATCTCTACTTCTCGAGGTGGCGCTGGCAACACGAGCTGATCAAGCGCTTGCAAAATGTCCTCAATCGGTCGTTGGTGGGGGAGGTCTTCACCCCCCTCACCTTCTTCCTGAACCCCGGAATTATGTGTGGGGGGACATTCTCTCGGCGAACTGTGCTCAGCTGGTATTTCAATCAACATACTTTCGCAGGCATTTTGAGCTGACAATACGATTTCTCCGTCCTTTATTGTTTCAATAGATGTTGACAGTTGGATGACAGTTGGACATCGTTGAGTGCTATTTTCTCCATTCTCTGTACTCACAGGAATAGTTCTGGAAGAAAAAAATGTCTGATTAGATGAGAATGAAATTTAATAATAGAAAATTAATTTATCATCTCTGAATGTAAAGAACACGCATTTGCGTCATAAGAAAATATTATAAGTGGTTATTAGTGTGTTGATGAAGAGATATAATTTCTGGGTGATGCCTACCGATCAAAAATTCGATGAACGGATCAATCACTCACTAAATAATATCTCAAAACTAAGGGAATGGTAGATTAGTGTCAGGTCATTATTCTTGTTATTCATAGAAATTATATTCTCTCTCTTTGTCCATTTAGAAAATCTAATTTTTGCGTTTTTTTTTCTTCAATCTTTTCCCAGTAAACTGCAGAAGTCAGGCTTCACTGACTGCGGTCAGTGAGCGGGCTTTGATCATCAGCCTATAAAGGACCGAGGGTGCGCAGTATCAGTCCTCGTTAAATTGTTCCACCAGGATTTCACACGCTGGTGTTCGAGCTACCAAAATAGGAGGTGGCATGTTTTTGGAATATCCTCACAGATGTTTTCTGACCATTACCAATAGCCCTTAGTGCTACGTAATTTTTTCTTTTTTATGACAGACATAAGATTACCCTTGGCAGTTATCTTTGTTCATTCAGCATTAACTCGTGAGAATATAAATTATGAAAACGGAACTTCACACGGGGAGTCTAAAACATGAAAACAGAATTGCGGATCAAATTTTTTGAAGTAAAGCGGAGTATTCGAAGATTACATAGGCAAATCAAAGATAACTTTATCCATCGTCAGAAGATCTTCAGAAGAGTTCACTTCTATGCAGGGGAGTCATAACGCTGAGAAATCGTTATTGCTTTTTGTGACTAAAATTATTTCAAGGTTAATTCAATTGTAATTAATTTTAATTTTAAACGTGTCTGGAACTGTGGCTGTAACCATGGTAACGAGGTATGACCATTTCAAGTAGGGGTGAAGGGTCACTTTTTTTTAATCGTTTCGGCTCGAGTCGGTGAGAGAAATGGAATCTCTTCGGTCTATTGTGTTAGTCCTAGAGTGAAGCTACCCTCCCTAAAATGCTCCATTCTTTGTTTCCATAGCACCAGACGGCTTTAGACTTTGTGGCAGGAGGAGTTCTTAGCTTAGACAAACTATAGGTTAAGTTTAGCCTATCTAAAACCATCGATCGCTGTCAACGCTTATTTTGAAAATGGTGCAAAACGTCAATTGGAGAAAAGCCGAAGTTTTGTGAAATGAAAAGCGTTTGTGGTTTAATTTTTCAATATTTAAAAACTTACCCCGATACTGAATTATTTGGGCTCATAAAAAATTGTAAAAACTGAGAATAAGACAGGGATTTTGAAAATTTTTCAATTAGGTTGAAAAATATCGCCAAATTGGCGACTTTTAAAAAAGTTCAATAACTTTTAAAATATTTAAGTTATTTGTCCGTTCTAAAGCACAGACAATTCTTCACGGCAAGGTGATATATATAGTTTAAAATCATCGCATTGCTTCGAGTGTAAGGCTTTTAAACTGTGGCTTTTTATTTTCTTTCACTATAGAACTTCAAAAAACGACGTGAAAGGCAAAATTTTTATCTCCAGCATGGTTGTATATCAAATGTTCCAAGCATATCTAATGCAACTTAAACAAAAATAAATGATATGGAATGTATATATTTCATTTGTAAGAGTATTGACCTCAGAAGAAAACTTACATTCATTAAAATTGAATATTAATCTAAAGTATCTTGACAGCAAACCGTAATATTTACGCCTAACGTTTTTCGAATCATCACAACTTGAGCGAAAACGTAAATAACTTTAATTCGAATAACTTTCAATCGTTATCGGAAACGATGTGCTAAGTTCTATGAATTTTCAAAAGTTTTGTTTAAAACTTTGAAGTATTATTATATATTACGTATGCGTTGATATTCTTTCTTAAAAACGTTATCTGCTATATTAACTATATATACATCGCTATAAGCGATTAAAATATTAGTTATTGGTTACCAACATTTTTCATTAATCTTTTTGACATTTTTCAGCTATTTTAACTCAAAAAAGTTTTTGCTTCAAACTAGCTACGTAAAAAAAAAATATATATATATATATATACATAATTAAATTTTATTTCTTATAACTCAAATATGGACTTCAAATTCGTATTAGTAAAATAGATAAATTTTTAGGGGATTAGAGCGCGAATTTCTGGGAAAAGTATCGAGTTATTGGGGGGGGGGGGATGATGTACTCTAAGGTAATAACATTTGAACCTGTTTTATAAAATCATTCTTATGAAAATGTTGTTAGCCTTTAAGTTTTAACGCATTTTACAAATTTAATCTGGATTATTTTAAAGCGGAAATTTTGAAAGCCTAAGAAAACTATTTTTTAATTAACTTTCATTTTGAATAATCACAGTTAGTAATCATAACATTGTAGATCACTATATACCTTTCTAAAATTCACGAATCATTTCAAAATTTAAAATTTACTTTTCAGTTTAAAAAAAATAACACCAATAATAGCAAATAATATTTTGTTACGCTTTGAAACGTTTCAAAAAAAGTCAACGAGGCGTTTTTATTAACTCATATACGCTGAGACCATCGAAATCCAGTAAGCCTAAAAACACTTCATTTACTAGTTCAGTGATACAATTCCGAGATAACGTCGCAGAAATGTTTTTGAAATGATGTTTCAGTTAATTTCTGTTGGGGATAGATTTAAAATGCTTCTGATTCAATATTAAATGGATAGCTTAGTTTGTGTGACACAGTTTTGTTTGCTATTTGTTGAGTGTTTATTTTCCTGGTCTTATGAATCCAAATAGAGTTCGATGTTTTCCAGCATCTATCAGAACCTTTCATTTATGTTTATGTAATATTTTTATAGCGCATCCCATGCTAAGTCCTGCTAGGTTTCGTTTAAGGCTGTGTAATGTTTAGGTCCACTCTGATTTGGAAGATTCTGTGTAACATTCAATTTCTTGCGCTTGTTCCTGCGATATCTGGTCGTTTATTTTCGTTCTTTCTCTGTATTTATCGAAGTGCTTCCTTTTTTTTAATGTGGTCTTTCAATTACCTTTCCAAAATCGATTGTAAAAGTTTCATTTGCAACGAAATTGCAATGTTCTCAAGATAACATTTCTGAAAGCAACCTTTTTTGTTAAGTAATTTTTTGGAGTGCTTCTGAATCTGTTTTGATACATGTGGGCTGTTTTTGTGATATTTACTATCTAGGTGTTTATTTTATTGGTCAACTGTATGGTCACATGTGTCGAATCTTCCGTGAAATGCGGAAGGAATGCATGGGTGCATTTTAATGGAGCAGTTGAGAGATGTCACATCGAAAGGATGAAAGCAATCAATTTTTCTGCACGAGGAATGTAATAAAACACTCAATTGTATAATAATTTTTTCGGTGGCAAAATATAAATAAAACTCTGTCTTAAAAGCAACATTTTTTGGGATTTTGAAAGATTTCATGACATAATTTTTTGTCTACAAAATAATACTGATTTCATTGACTACTTTTATTTTTGCTTAAGGGAAACTGAATAGCTTTTAGATAAACATTATACCGTCTTACATCCTAAATTCTTGACTTTTTAATTAATTGTGATTTATTTGGGAACATAGTGAGAACAATGTAATACTGAAAGCATGCTCATAATAAATTTCATTCAATCTAAATATTCATGTGTGATTGAATTGTATCTCGTATCTTACATTTTTCTCTGAATCTATAAGTTCATAGATTTGCAGCATATAATTTGGTTTGAAATTATAGATTTTAAACTAGATGTTATGATTTTAAAAAGGCTTAATAACACAGGTCTGCAAAAAAAAAATTTGGGGTACGTATGAAATTTTTATCCAACTATACTTGTTGAACTAGTTTCGACGGAGAAACTAAATTTTTTCCATTTTTTCTATCATAAAACTCATGTTGATGAAGAAAGTAAATTTATATTTAATATTTCCTTTGTTAGTAAAAGAAATAAAACTAAATTATCCAGTTTATCACGTGCAAAAGCGATGACTTGTAACATTATTTGTATTTAGTTAAGTCGGAATTGTTATGAAAAATAGAAATGTAAATGTAATCAAAGGAAGGAAAAACCTGATGATTAAATAAAATAAAATATCTAACTGAAAGAAAACTTCCTTAAACATTATTGATACTAAATTTCTAACTTTAAATTAAGAGTTTTGACTTTAATTCCTTAAAGGAAGCAAATTTAATTAGATAAAAATGACTGTTTTATTATTTCATGCATTCAATATGTAGTAGTGTGTTGTTCAAACATTTAAAATCTAACAACATGTTTTTACAATAAATCTAACAACAAAATATTTTTTAAATTAAAATGATACACAACTTGTATCTCGCACGTGCACGTAACTGAAAGGTTTTGGTTATTATAATGATAAGATTTGCTTTCCCTTAGTATTGCTTCCAGCCGAGTTTCCATGCTGTCGATTAGCATTGCTTCTAGATAGGTTTACGAAATTTTTATTAGATTACAGTGCAGTACACATAAGTAATTTATCGACTTCACCAAAATCATAATGCTTTTTTTTTTACCAAAATAGCTCTTAAGAGACGTTCTGTTCAACAATTTAAAAATGTGGCACATCATTACACGAAAACTTTCAATAAAAGTGTTCAGCATTTTTCCTTTTTAGTAAATGGCTAATAAAGTTTTCGGAATTTATTTAAAATAGGGAATGACACATGTAAAAAAACATATGACATATGTTTTTTTTTCACGTTTGAGAGTAAAATGATAATTTAACAAAAAATGTTTTTTTTTTCTTCTTCTTCTTCCTTTCAAATTAGAGTTCAAGAGTAAAAAATTTCATTTCTAAGAACAGAAACTTTCTCGAACATTAATTGAATCGTGCTAATCTCAAAGGTTACCTCTGACTTAAAAACAAGCTAACTTTTGAGATTTTAATTTAGTTTTTTCTTTTTAAATCGAGGCAAAAAATTTTTTTTTCAAGTTTAGGAGTAAAAT